CATGCTCAAAATAATTTATTACTCTACACAATAAGAAGAAAAAAAAAACAGGAGATGTTGTGAGGCCAGTTAGTAATGGTTATTGGGAAGATCTAGCTCACTGGTGTTTAGTAGGGTTGAGGTCAGGGCTCCGTGGAGGCCTTTCAAGTTTATTTTTGTGGTCACATGACCATAATACGTATAATGGCCTCAACCCTTCTGGGAAGGCTTTCCCAAAGAGTGTTTATGGAAATTGTGAGATCAGGTACTGATGGTTAATGGGAAGATCTGGCCCAGCGGTGTTTAGCAGGGTTGAGGTCAGGGCTCCTGAGGCCTCTCAAGTTTTTGTGGACACCTGACCATAATACCAATAACGGCCTTAACCATTCTACGAAGGCTTTCAACAAGATTTTGGCATGTGTCTATGGAAATTGTGAGGTCAGGTACTGATGTTTAATGAGAAGATTTGGCTCACCAGTGTTAGTAGGGTTGAGGTCAGGGCTCCGTAGAGGTCACTCAGTGTATGTTTGTGGACACCTGACCATCATAGCTATAACGGCCTCAACCCTCTGTTAAGGCTTTCCACAAGATTTTGGAGTGTGTCTATGGAAATTGTAAGTCAGGTACTGATGGTTAATGGGAAGATTTGGCTTACTGGTGTTTAGTAGGGTTGAGGTCAGGGCTCTGTGGAGGCCTCTCAAGTTTATTTTTGTGGACACCTGACCATTACACCTATATCGGCCTGTGGCGTATGTCTATTTGAATTATAAGGTCAGGTACTGATGGTGAACAGAGATGACCTGACTCACTGGTGTTTCATAGGGTTGAGGCCAAGACTCTCTGTGCAGGCGGCTCAAGTTTTGGAGAGCGGTCTACATACTTTTGGCAATATAGATACATAGATGTGATGGTCCAATGTACACAAACGTTTGGCTTTTCCTAAATCTGGGTAATTTTTTATGAAACCTTAAATGCCTAAAATATGTTCATATATATTTATCCATTTATTTCACATATTGCTGCCCACATGAAACATTTTGCTGCCAGACAGCAGGGAATAGGAATTTGTTTAATCTGAGCACTGTCATACCCTCCCCCCCCCCCCAACATTGTTTTGCAATCATTCCTTTGCAGGGTGAAGATTATTTGAAGCACAAGGTCAGAAGCAGGCCGGAAAAGTCTGATCTGGCCAACATGCATATTTTACAAGGTAAGATGCTCTGCCATGGGAAGCCTCACTGATAAGAGCTTAAAAAATGTGATTGTAAAACATTCATATTATTATACTTTTATTATGTAGCAGCCATCTGCAGCCCACATTGATTGCAGCAGCTGTGATACTTATGAAAGAGTAGATGGCTACAATGTTTTTGACAGATTCGTTTTGGATAAAGTAGGAAAGGGTTAAAACGTATGCTAGGTTATATCTTTTGCTGTCCCTTGTCCCCTTGGGGAGATTTACCTTCACCTCCTGTTCTGGAGACACAACAGTAAATAAGAGGAAACGTCTCTAAAATGAGGGGAATTCCAATTTTGGAGATTTGTCACAGGAACAGGTGTCGCCATTGAAGGATTTCCCTCACCTTTTGCGACAACTCAACATTGGATTGGATTTTTGAAAGGTACTTTGTAACCTTTAGGTATATTGAATGGACATAATGATTTCAGCACATCTGTGGTATTCTTTTTTCTTAATATAAGGCACATTAGCATGTTTCCCTTAATTGTAGCTATTGTTTAATATCGCTGGATTAAACAAGTACTACCTGCAAACCCTAACCATCCATGATAAACTTCTTGGAAGTTCTAAAATGCATTTTATAACCTTTTAATACTAAAATGTTTTTAATTTTTATACACTTTTCTAAGGGACCAGACTTGAGTGTAAAATGGAATTTACACTCAAGTCTCCGCCCTTCCAAAGACCTCCTGCTTTCCAGCTCCCTCGTCAATTCCTCCCATGCTCGCCTCCAGGACTTCTTTAGAGTCTCTCCCATCCTCTGGAACTCCTTACCCCAACCTGTCCATCTATCTCCCACTCTAACTGCCTTTAGGCGATCCCTAAAGACTCATCTCTTCAGGGAAGCCTATCCCGCCTCAACCTAACCACTCAACCATCACTTTCTCAAACAATTCATCCCCACACAGCTACCTCCTCATGTATCACTTGCCCTTCCCTTTTAGATTGTAAGCCCTCAGGGGCAGGGCCCTCCTTACCATCTTGTCTTGAATTGTATTGTAATGTCTTCCTTATATTGTAAAGCGCTGCGCAAACTGTTGGCGCTATATAAATCCTGTAAAATAATAATAATGATATTAATTGTGTCATTTGAATATATAAAAGAGAAAGTCTGAGGGGGGTTATTCACGAATGAGCCGAAGGATCCAGCCATAGCTTCGGCTGATCCTTCAGTTGAACCGAAGGGCTGCTGTACAGGCTACTCACTATAGCCCATACAGCAGCCAAAGGTGGCAGAGGAAGCATGGAGAAAGGTCGGCCAAAGGCGGAAATCAGCTGTACAAGGCTGAAGTGAAGAGCCGAACAGCATTTGGCTCACTTCACTACGGCTCGGTTAATCACTCGGCTGAGTGAATGACCCCCTAAGTTTTGCTTCACACTTTAAAACCATTTTTTATGCTACAATGTAAGATTATATATATATATATCTATAGATATATATATATATATCTATAGATATATATATATATATCTATAGATATATATATATATATCTATAGATATATATATATATATCTATAGATATATATATATATATCTATAGATATATATATATATATCTATAGATATATATATATATATCTATAGATATATATATATATATCTATAGATATATATATATATATCTATAGATATATATATATATATCTATAGATATATATATATATATCTATAGATATATATATATATATCTATAGATATATATATATATATCTATAGATATATATATATATATCTATAGATATATATATATATATCTATAGATATATATATATATATCTATAGATATATATATATATATCTATAGATATATATATATATATCTATAGATATATATATATATATCTATAGATATATATATATATATCTATAGATATATATATATATATCTATAGATATATATATATATATCTATAGATATAATAAAAACTTTTTTACCTGAGAATAAAAAGCGTTTCCTGCATCTAGATTCATGTGCTGAGGGATCAACTCAAGCTGTCCAGATGAAACTGAAAAGGGCTCGCCTTGCAGATGACCTGAATGAAAGGATTGCCCTCAGACCGGGTCCCCTAGAACTGGTGGAAAAAAACATAATTCCTCTTGAATCTACTGTGAAAGAAACCATGAAAGGTGAGCCATGTTCTGTATTTGTTGAGGTCAATCGTTTGTGGACACCTGACCATCGCAACTATATATGCTTGTTGGACATCCTCTTCCACTACCATGGCCATTAAAATGGAGTCAACCCCTCTCTTTGTGGCTATAACAGCCTTCACTGTTCTCAGAAGGTTTTCCAAAAGCGTTTGGATTGTCTTTGTGGAAGGTTTTGACAATTAAGCAAAAAAAAAACATTTGTGAGGTTCGATACTGATGTTGGATTAGAGGATCCGTATAGTCTATTTAGATTATTATTATTATACAGGATTTATATAGCGCCAACAGTTTGCGCAGCGCTTTACAATATAAGGAAGACATTACAATCACAATACAATTCAAGACAAGATGGTAAGGAGGGCCCTGCCCCTGAGGGCTTACAGTCTAAAAGGGAGGGGCAAGTGATACATGAGGAGGGAGCTTTGTGGGGATGAATTGTTTGAGAAAGTGATTGTTCAGTGGTTAGGTTGAGGTGGGATAGGCTTACCTAAAGAGATGAGTCTTAAGGGATGACTTCAGTTTTCTGTAAGATCTGATAGTTACCGAGCACATAGACATGGAACAAGAAAAAAAAATCTTGGCTACCCAAAGAACGTTTTGTACTTCCATCTATTTTGTTTTTTCTAAGTAGGACCTTTAAATTTGCCCCTGTTTACTTGTATAGCGTTTTTCTATTTAAGTAGACACTGAGCAACATTTCCAACGTTCAGTATTCTTTCAATTGGCAAATGTTTCTGAAGTTCAAGTTGCCATGGACATTTTGTTGGGTATGGTTGAGGCTGCCAAGGTTTACCCCCATAACAGACTCCAGAATGATCCTATCAAGTTTCTGAATTTCCTAACAAAAGACAAAGAGCACCTCAACTGATAGAAGGATTTGGTGTGTATACGTTTCGGATTGTCATTTTGTAAACCCTATAAATGATGTTGAATGTTTTTGCACCATAGACATGTAAGCTGCAGAAAAATTTGGTTCAGTTCGGATATTTCGCTATTTTGGGATTCAGATCCGAAATTCAATTTGATTTGGGTTTTGGATTCGGACGTTTGCCAAATTTTCGCTGGTTTCGGATGAGTTTACGAATATTCGTTGCAAATACCACAGAATACCATATACAGATATCAATACTAAAGCTGAATCTCCTAGACCCGAATGGCATTCGTGATCCGAATTTACAAATTGCATTTTTGGGAGCTCCCGAATGCTATTCAGGTCTGGGAACCATATACATATGTTACTAAAGCTAAGGCTCGCAGACCCAAATGGCATTCGGGAGCTCCCAAATGCAATTTGGAAATTCGGATCCCGAATGCCATTCGGGTCTGGGAGCTTCAGCTTTAGTTTTATATGTATATACTGTATATGGTTCCCATGTTGCCATAACGAAAATTCGTCTTCAGACCCATTCGGATGCATTAAACCAAAAAAACACATCTAATTGGCTAGAAAAGTCACACGTCTGATTCAGTTTAGTTTTTGAACAAAATTTGGACAGGATCCGGAATTCATAAATGGGAATTTGGATTCGGGCACATTCGGATCCATTGGGATTCGGATGTGTCCAAATGTCCGAATTTTCGGGAAAATTCGTCCGAATTTTGATTGGGAACGAAATGAATGGCACATGTCTATTGCTCCATATGCTCCAGATATATTGACTAAATAACATTGTGACGTGAACAAAGGCAAGCCACTTCCATCACTTTCTTTGACTTAGTAGATGCCCAAAAGAATTTGTGACCTAGATAACTTAACTGGAAGACTTAGATGTTGCAGCCAACATTGTAGCAGATATAATTCAACAGTCTAAAGTGAAAATGCTTGGAATAACATCACACTATTCCCTTTTGTGTTGAGTTTTTAGAGCAGAAAGAAGAAACATTTCTCCGAACATAATTTGAAAGTAATTTGGAGCTCAGAATTGCGCTTTGCCGACACGACTAGCGATGATAGGCACTCAATAGACTTGGCACTGATCTGTAGATTTCTCCATGGTCGATAAGTCCAACAAATCAACATTTTTTGGGCCGTTTGCTGCATTTCTTACAAAATAATGATTTAAATCCGTCCCTTTGGAATTACATCTTTACTGGTCCAAACCTATAAAGCAGGATCATTTTTGGCTTTGACCTGTTGCATATAAAATTTTTAGACACTGCAAAGTGCAGTCTAGTTATTTACGTAATCTGACTTGAGTGCACAGATTGGAGCCAAAAAGCTTAATAACATTCAAACGGCAGGGCAGCAAGGTCTACATTCTGAGCTGGCACATATCTGAGGGTTGATATCATAGACCTATTTACCAGTTGCCTGTCAACACTCAAAGCGCTCCGTCCGTGAGGACACAATGGAGTCTGGTCCAGGAACAGAACCCGAGTCGCATTACTGCCTGGCATGGTGGTCTATGATGGGGTTTAAACTGAGTAAGCTCAGCCGTGTTTCAGCTGATGTGTACTAGGATTTACATGCACCTTTACACAATTTCTTCAGAAAAGAGGCAACACATTAGGCTATACTGTTGTGGAGCCAAAAATGTGTTCCCTCGTAAATCAACTTCTACTTTTTTTTGGTTTGAGTTGGAAAGAAAATGTGTATTTCTTCTTATCCTGTCTGTGAAAGTCACCCTGCAACAAATGATATCTAAAGGTTTGATTGGTATGTTTCGATAAATGAATGATTGAACCAAAGAATTGATAACAGCCTGGCCAGGCTGGATATCTTCACCACATCTCTACACAGGAGCGAAAATCTAGAATTTACTTATAGTACACAACTGCTGGAGACAAATCCCCTTGGGAGTAATAGCTTAAGAATGATTAGTTTTAAGAGCCTTATCTGGATCATTTGCACCTGCTTCTGGATCAACAACAATCTGTCTAATATTAGCAGCTATCATTCTTTACTCATCGTTTCTCAGAAGCGGCTGATTGGTGCCAGATGCTTTTATTGGCAGTTGCCCTTGTTCTACGTCCAATCACCCGATTCCATGTGGACAGCTTCCAGTTCTTGAGAGCTGCTACCACCACGAAGAGCTGCTATCACCCATGTTTTTTACGCCTATTTGTTTATATATATAATGTTATCATTTCTTTTGATCACTGGTTTGATGAACTTATTGGTGTCACTTGAAAGAAGTTATTATTTAGTCGCTAGTCTGATTAGCGTTTGTTTTTTGAACACTCATTTACTTATAAGTACACTTTGCAACAATTGTATATCACTGCTTTTGCGGCATTTATTTCAGTTATTTTTTGGGTTGCCTTATATAGATGTGATTTATTCACTCACTTTTCTTATTAACTGTTTATTTAAAAGTCCAAACCTATAAAGCAGGTTGCTATATTTTGAAGTGATCGTTCACCGGTTTCTTTTCTCATTAATGGTCTATTCAAATGCACCTTTGAGCAAATTATCGCGTTGAAATTTTGTGACAAATAATTTGATACACACACGGATCACTGGAGTTTATTTCAAAAGTAAAGGAGATTCTTTATTTAAAATTGCGGGTTACACTGAGGAGGTTAATCAGCGCTGTACACTTACCCTATATCAGCCATATTAACAGGATTATATTCTGACCTACATTTCTCTTCTATAGACAGGTGTCAATGTGTGTTGTGATATCACTACTTTTGCACCTAATATTCGGTCAAAAATATCTGAGCACCCCCCAAAATTTTTTAGTCCAGCTGTTTTCAGTGAAAAGTTGTTAATACTAAAGCATACTGAGACAGTTTAGACAGTTATGGTAAGAGCTTGGGGAGGGCCGATTTCTGTTCCAGCATGACTATGCCCCTAAAGCCAGATCCAAAAAGTTTAATTTGTTTAGTGTGGAGAAACTTGATTGAACTGCACAGAGTCCTGTTCTCCAACTCTACTGGATACCTTTGGAATGAATTGGAATGCTAAATGCAAACCAGGTCTCACCAACCTTGGCACCTGTTCCGGCAAACTTTGGCCAAATGGGCACAAATGCCCACGGACACACTCCAAAATCTTGGAGAAACCCCTTCCAGAAGAGTGGAGGCTATAGTTGCAAGAGGGGAACAACGCCATATTAATGGCCATGGTTATGGAATGGGATGTCCAACAAGCTCATTTAGGTGTGATGGTCAGGTGTCCACAAACCTTTAGCCATGTAATATTTCTAGAATATGGCGAATATCACCATGGGTCCCCAAAAATTCCATTTCAATATTACTTTGCCTCATAGGTAGCCCAGTTCACAATAAATATTGCAGCCCCTTAGTAGTAGTATAATGAGGAATATATGTTGCTCACTTCAGATAATTCTAATTAGGTTTAGGTTTCTTATTGTACTCTCTGCAGTAAGTCACGCATTATGTTTTATAGAAGCAGCAATGTTATCTCTTACATCCAGCAAACAGAAAAGCCACTTTTTTCCCTGCTCATATTGTCCATGGTGTAAATAATACCTATCATAAGGAGTAAAGTCCTTCAAGACACTTGGTTCATTTTAAACAATTCATGTATACTGTCCTTCAAAAAAATATTACTTTTATAGAACTTTTCTTTCTTATTCTTGAAGGCAATACAGGCAGTTACTCCAAGTCGGTGGACGCCTTTGCCTTTGAAGAAGACAGCAGCGATGATGGCTTGTCCCCAGACCAGGAGAGAAATGATGAAATGCAGGGAAACCCATCTTCATCTCCGCAAGAGACCAAATTCGCGGATGCTTCTGGCTCCCCTAACTCGGCCACAACTCAGGTAACACTTCTCTTTGATTTTTTTTTTAGTATACGACAAGGTCTGTGTTTTTAAGCTGCCTTTTCAAAGAAGCTATCAATATTAAAAGACATTGCAGTCTAGGATTCTACTATACCCTATACGCTATTATCAACACAGGGACAGTTTACGTGAATTTAGGGGACAACTAACAGGGTTATTCACAAAAGGGTGAAGAGTTTGGAGAAGGCAGGAGAAGTGAACAATCTAGGCCAAAATAGTTGATTTGTAAAAATTCACCAATTCAGCTCACTTTCCAGTTCAGCGATGTTGTCCTGGATTGTTCTCTTCTCCGGCCTTCCCCAAACTCCTCACCCTTTTGTGAATAACCCTGTAAATGTTCTTGAAATTTTTGATCACTTATGGTTTAAGCTTATCAAAAGTATCTGGTTTCACCCAGTTATGTGCAACGTTGAGTAGATCTGGAAAGGGTTTAGTTGAAGTCAAAAACAGGAATGTATTATGGGTATTGCAATAAATGATCTCCATCCAGATATAAACAATGACTTGGTTAGTGGACTCAAACATGGATTGGAATTAATTTCTATAGTGTTTGGGGGACATATACCTGATTGGGTTCAGGTGACCGACTAAATCTCTCTCTACTGTGACCAGCTTGGCCAGAGCTCTTCCTGATGAACACTCTGTCTCTGTCCTAGTATCAACCAGCTTGACTCTTCAATGCCTGCTCTGCTCTTTTTTTTTTTCCATCTCTTCTTTTGTTCCACCTCCAAAGCTTTCAAAATTGGTTGGGGCAAACCTAGCAAAGGTAGGCAAGCAAACTTATCAACAACCATTTCAATGCAATACAGGCCAAAACCACATGAACTTTTTAAAATTAAAATTGGTGTACCCCAAAATGCCCATGACTGAGAAATCTGAGTATCCTTAAATCTAGTGTTGAACACATGATGTAGTCCCAGGGACCATGTGCCACCATGAGAGGACCAATGACAGGTGCCACATTGCTTTCCTACCTGCTAGAATGGTTGGTCACTTTGACCTTTCCCAATGCCTGATGGACCATAAGGAAGCCAGAATATTGTTCCATGTTAATGTCCTACTAAAAGGGAAAAGGTTGATTTTTAGTGATGTGTTCCTTATACCCCTCACTTAACTGCCTTTACCAAGTACGGATCAAACAGCAGAAGGCCCTGTGGAGGCCATCAGCATAATCGCTTTTCCTCTCTTAAGATCCACCATTAATCTCCTCTTCTGTAACCAAACTGACATAAACCGTTAGATTGGCCTTGCGTTTGATGGTAGGATGGATAGCTGAAGGCTTCACCTTGAGCTTCGATGAGTTTAATAATTTGTGAAGTCAAATGAGTCCTATTAAAGAGTTCACCGAGAAATCTATACATCACATTGTTTAGAATGTCAGGAATATGTTGACATTACGCAGCACTACCAAAAGTTCCACCTTCTCATCGTTCTTCAGATGATAGCACTGTTCTGCGTAGGGTATCCGGGGAATTGTTAGCCCAGAAATGACAGTTTTTTGGCCCGGGCCGTCGAAGCTTCATTCCTGTGTCTTTGTTACACAGTGTACTTGGCATAGCGGCCCTTGATTTTTCCAGGCAATGAGGGCAATTGGCCAAGGTATTGTCTGCACGGTGTGTCTAATAGCGAAGGGGGCTTATGAAATACGATTGGTCTCGCAGGCTTGCTGGTTGCACCGCACTCACAACTGAGCCTTCGTGACTTTCAGGCATAAAAAAAAAACCCACAACTATTTTACAACCTTCTTCTTCTTCATGTTTTCGGTTTTAGCTGCCTGAAAGGCAAAACAATTAGTTGCAACAAATACAAATCGGCCCACCCAGCTGGCTGTCTCTGGCCCATAAAATCACATTAGATCAGATAGCTGTTCTCCAAAATGTGTTAATTATTATATGATTTAAAGTAACTGCTCCGTCAGGAGGCACTTCTATCATTTCCAAACAACAAATATTGTGTCCTATTTGAAGGAAATGGAGGACCTCCAGCAGCAAGCTATAACACTGTTCAAGGTCACAGAGCAGATCCAGGACTTGCTTTGTGCTTTTGTATCATATATGGCTCATGAAAACTACAGTGGAGCTCTAGTTTTCACATTACAGTTAAAAAGGGACAAATGAGGTTCCTTATTTACTCCAGAAGTTGCTCTACTATGGACCAATGGGTCATGTGACACTGGTGAGCTCACCGCTCTCCAAATATACGCTATATCATAGAGGAGTGACATCACCGCTCTCCAGAATAACATTATGAGGGTTATACACTTAGCTGCCGAAGGCAACCGAGTGAGTAAGCCAGCCGAAGTGAAGTGAGCCAAACAACGTTCGGCTATTCACTTCAGCCTTGTACGTCATCGGCTAAAATCAGGCTAAAATCAGGCGTACATCGGCTGCCTTCGGCTTCCTTCGGTCAGCCGAACATGCTCTGCATCGGCTGAGCCGAAGTGCAGAAGGAGTTCAACTCAGCCGATCCAACATCCGAATCGGCTGATCTCATGAGAAACGGCTATTCTCATAGGGGCCGAGCGGCAGTCAGTAAAAGCCGAATGCCGCCGAGTGGCATTTGGCTCAGCTATTCTGCTCGCTACCTACAAAAAACTTAAGTAAATGAAAAAAAAAAGAAAGTTTACAAATTATTTTAAAAAATGTTAAAAAATTTAAAAAAAAATAAAAAAGTTAACATAAAATTTTAAAGGAAAAAAAAAATACACGGGCCGACCCGACCGCACGCGCCGAACTCCCCCTGCATAATGTAGAATCTGACAGATGTCGGCAAAATATAAACCATTAGGCGGAGCTAGTGGTGACATCACGGCTGGCTCTGCCCAACTGTTTACTATTGTCCGGCACCTGCCAGAGTCTTCTAGCCGGTCCCGGGCAAAAATGTTATTGTTTAATGACAGATCAGAATCCCCAGGTCATTTGGGGGACGCTGATCTGT